GGAAATTTGTGGGTTATTGATATCTTTTGAAAGTGGAAAATGGTCCTCATCCTCCCTTATGCGTAGAACTTTTAACCTATACTTTTAAGCTCATACAAGTTAAATGATGTGTAAAAGATGTCTATATGTAGCCTCTAAGATTTCAAATAATCAATTACTTATCAATAGGAGCACCGATTTGCATAAAGAACTTCTATATTTTCTGCAGATCCGATCAGGCATGCGACTCATGCATGAAGCACTATCTGGAGAAACTATTAGTTTGTCAGTTTTTATTATCCTTATTAGTTATTGTGGATTCCGATAACAGAGGTGTCAGTTTCGGCGCTCCATTCCTGTTAATACCAGCAGCAAGGAAATTAGTGAATGACCTAATATTGTTTACGCGCGGGGAATGAATTCTTTGCGTTTTGGCGAAGTTCACGTATTTAGCACATATGTATCTAAGAGTTTTCTTAATTTTTTTAACAATGTAGGCTTTTGTTTATGTGACGCAGTGCAGATCCCCATGTACTTCATATTTTATGATCACGAGCATTGAACTAGAACATGTGCCCCGTAAAATGAGATTGTAACCCAAGTTATCCATTTTTCTGTTGATTTTTGCATGTTTCTATGAAAGCGAAGAATTATTGTATTATTCATTTTTACAGTTTATTCTGCTTGTCCGAAAAGAGAATATTTAAACTCTCGATATTGATATACACCCTAGCAATGCTAGTGGCTTAACGGCAGTACCTAATATATTTGTCTTTAGACCCTTCATAACAAATTTGGAGGGCATTGTGTGCATGCTTTTGTTCGCAGGTGTGATCTGGAAAGCACTTTAGCTGCCACATGTTTTTCACCAGCCGGGGGAGGCATATTTGGGTCACAGTATTTTAGCTAACTGAACCGCATGCACACTCCGTCCTCAGCGGGTTGCACTTACGAAAGACAACGCAGTCTTTAGATTAAGCTAATAGCCCATTAATTTGCTGTACTTTAGTAAGTAATTAGCCAACCTCTTTTCGCTGGCTTGTTACCGCCTCTGCAGGGCACGTGATATTACTGGTAGAATTAATGATATATCATGGCGCAGATGAACCATTTAGCTAGAATACATTTATGTGATTAAATAAAAACCTGTCGTTGACTGAATAACTGCGTTTGTGCATAGCGTCACTTCTTACTTAATTAAAGGTCGAAACAAACTACATAAATCTTATTAATGCAGCAAATTCCGAACAATACTTTTGCTTATTTTGTTAAGTTTTTGCATCGTCTTACACAGTGGCTGATGTTTTTTGGCCCAGCACATCTACTAGTAATAGTTCTGTGTTCCCGCTTTCGTGTAGCAGTGTTTGTCAATGTTTTTCCTCTAAAAAATAGATAAGACAGGATATGCTGCTAGTGTAGGTTCGTCTTCTAGCAGATGCAAAAGCTACTGAACCATTTTTTGTTTAAACATAGCGCACTGCGAAATTTCTGTTTCATGATAAATAAAAGAACCTATTTGTATACATGTATTTCTAATCAACTAATGGCAGCCAGTATAAAAATGCGCGAAATACAAAGCAGGTCCTAGTTGGTTCATTTACTAGTAGGTGAGGTGCCGCGTAGTTGCCTCCTGCAGATAGCATTCTTGTGGGTTCACATTATAACTGCACAATAATTGTACCGTAAACCTTCAAGCATTTGCAGTATAGTTGTGGGCTAGCTTTAGCAGTTGACTGCGGCCAACATTCGTAACTTTGGATAAATGTTGCTCAAATCACCAAAGTTTTTGGAACATTCGAGCAGGTGCCAGTCTTTTTACGCAGTAAAGCTGTGTAGCCCTTTATTGCCCTTTGATTTCATTAAAATATTTTTTTTACCACCCTAAATTTACGAATGTCTCCGTAATAGGATGATGTGGAAGATCATCTTCATGCAGCCCAACTAAATAAATATTGTATCTACCGATTCCTCCACATAGTCGCATTGCCGTGATCTGCGCTATGGATGAAGACCAGAGTGTTTTTCCTCCAGTAAGTTTTTTATTTGGGTTATTTTCTTTAGAACCATCCTCTTCGTATCTACCTTCGCGATCTAAATTTAGACGACGGCAACGACTGCGATGGTGATGATAAAGATCGAGCCTCAAAACCTCCTGTGAGCATTGCGCCCTCAGATTGGACCAACTCAACCTCTGAATATGCTCTCCTTTTTAATCTTCTCTTCTATTACTACAGCCTCATTGTATAGTTTAACTTCTCAACTAACATCTTCTAGATTTATTTCCCAAAAAGATACCTCTTGCAATGTCTCCTTCAATCCGAGCACATCTTTACCAATGACCGCGCATATCTCGAGCAGTGTAAGGGTGCTCTCAGAAGGTGGCTGCCCCCGCATCCACTCCGTCCTCTTTCTTTTATCCCCATTTTGTTCACAATCTTGCCGATTCTCCTCTCTCTCCTGGTCCCGAATGTTAATATTCTTGTCTTTTATGTTGGCATGTTGTCATTTCTCCTAATCGTTGCCAGGCTAGTTTTCATCTGCTTCACCGTCTTGTTGGTGAAACAAGCGATTGGTTGTATGGAGGATCTTCATCTTTTCTTCGAAAAATCAATTATTTTCCTGCGTGGACTCAATACCGTTGCGATAGGCTATATGTTGTGAGTAGTTTGAGGTGAAACTGATTCGAAATCTGAGTGATTTTCTTGGAATCCTTAATGTTCTCTTTCAGTGCAAGTAGGGGAGCGGCATTCCTGAGTCAACTAGACAGAGTTGTGCTACCGAAGTATAGCTCTCATTTGTACAATGCACTGTCCGCCTACGTATCAAATGTCTCCTCTCTGTCCCTCACCATGAACCAAATAATCCAATCTTCTCCCTCTCTGGTCTCCAGTATTGTGGAAATCGGCAGCTCTTTAACTATTCCTCACGATACTATGACCGAGGGAGAAGCCAATAAAAAGAGTCTGGTAAATATCAAGGTAGCGTTGAATGTCGTCCAGCACCATTATCCTCTAATCTCTAGGCCATGTTCTGTATCGGTCTCGGATTTGACTCCGAGTTGGCACGGGTATTTGGCTGCTTCGTCGCACTTCACTCCCACGAATCCATCCTTCTGAACTGTAAGTTCTTCTCTTTTAGCTTACCCAGATGTGAGCTTTCCAATGTCCATCTGGGATTGGCTAGTAGTAACCTTGTTTCTTTATACTTAAATGTTGTCAGCATCATCCAATAATCCACTTGCCTTCATTTGGGCTCACTACATTGCCCGCCGTCGAATTCATGATTTCGGTTCATTTGGTGTGGAGTTTGTTAACGCTGACACTAATGCAGCGCAAGGATGACTTCATTTCTCCCCACTAATTATGTTTCCTTTTTGACACAGTACGAGTGGTTAAGGCTCTCTGTGCCTGGCTATGGTGCCTACGACGGGGAAGGCAGCGTTTGCGCGAAGTGGACCGGATGCGAGTAAACCTGGAGAGGGGAGGTTGGTTTCGGGACGAGCCACCAAGCCGAGTGACTAAGGCGCCCAGTCCAGCCTTCGAAGAGGTGCAAGTGAGGGAACACCTCTCAGCTTTGGCTAGCCTTCATTATAACGTCATCTCCTTATCGTGTCGGTACGTCGAGGTCCGTGTTACGTACACTTTGTTAGTAGTTAGTCTGATATAAATTATCATGTTGGTGTGCCGCAGTGCATCACGATCTACACTCTACCCCCAATGCATTGAACGACTACATTTCCCTCCCCTTGCCTGTCCGTTTTAGTCTTCACCCTTACACTTATCCATCTCTAACAGAGAGCTATCCACTTTCTGGCTATTTCAACCCCATAATTGTGTAATGGTAGAGTAGGCCACTAAAAAGGCAAATTGGATGGCTTGGAGTAGGATCGGGGGTCCGTTGGGTATTTTTTGATTATTTGTCGTTTTTCATTGTAGATTTTGGTAACTTTTATGGGTGACTAATGAAAATGTTTAATCACAGGATCTGCAAAGCGCTTTTGGAGTAGGAGGATTTTCCAATTCTACTGAGGCAACCCCGGACAGATCGCACTCTTTACGGTTTTTAATGGTTCTTTTGTTTTAATAATGAAATAATGTGTCCTGGTTTTGTCTAACGTAATAAACGTAGTCCTTCAACTCAACGCATCCATCAACCCTTCTGTGCTCATCAAAAACATGATTGCATTGGAACTTGTCTTTTTTCAGGCTTCATAAACTGAGGGAAAGGGTCATTGTCAAGGCGTCTTCAGTTGCACTGTCTGAACTATCCTCCGAAGACCTTCAGTCGATGCGCACACTCTTGTCTAATTGTCAGTACTGCCTGGATGAGGCCGAGAAAACCCTTCGAGATGAATCCACTAAATCGACAGAATCGATTTCGGTTCCCAAGGTGCCTGAGCCGACGTTCAAAGTGGAAGGAACGGGCGAACTGATACCACTGGATTCTGAACAACCGCCCACTGAAGATGAGGTAGGTCTCGTTAAAATTGAAGGCGTTATGCGCCATAAAGAAGGTGTGCAAGACTAGTGTTAGGACCGTTTTCGAATTTTCTTCTGACAGACATCTTTCACTTCTCATGGGTGGAATATTTCTGCTTCTCAGGATGATATTGTGGCATTAAACTGGAGGAACAGTCGGCTTGACAGATAGGGAGGAGAAAATGGACTATCGATAACGCTAATTACTGTTCTTGTCTTCACAGTCTTGGACGCAAATGTTTAAATAAGCACTTGAATGACTTTTGTGGGCTCGATGTCCGTGGCCATTCCACCCTAATTCGATTTAGATATAGTAATCTTCGCTTGGGGCTTTTACAAAGGCTATATACGTGGATTCTTCTCCCCCCTCGTCCCCTCGCCAAGTAGAAATTCTCCACCCTTTTATTTGCCCATTGTGTAAATTCGCTACTACCGAAAGAGGAAAGTCTAACCCCATTTCGGCTTCTTTTCCAGCTTTAAACAATTGAACTGTAATGGTGGGAGAATTGTAGGTCTAATAGGACCTCTGGTTGGCTCGACTGAATGAATAATTTTTTCGTCTTTCTTGTTTTTTCTTTTTTATCTTATGGAGGTAAATAAATTGGTTCCCATTTTTTTCTCCCCTTCCTTTTTTTCTATATTGTTCTCTTCCATATCCCTTCGGTTGTCTTTCGGCCAATTGAAGGCATAATTAATAGTTCCCCTTTCTTTGCGGGTTGTCGGTCATTAGCAAGATGGCTATTACGGCTTTGATAAGTTTGCAAAATCTGTCTCTTCGACTATAATTTTTTTAGCCCTCACTTTTTACCGTCATAAAAGTGCTTTATCGAGAGGGGCTTGTTCCCTGATTGACTGGTTGACTGAGTGACTTGGGGTGAGAAGTATCTTTTGCATTGTGTGGTTCGTTAATTGGACAGACACATTATTTGGGTTATCTCTCAACCCTCCACTCATAACTTCCCCCTTCCCCTCCACTTCCATTTGCAGTTGTTGGCTGTGGGCCCAACCAATAGCGATAGGTAAGATCCATCTACCCTCAGCAATAGCCAGGCTGAATTAATTAACCAACGTTGTGAGACTTTCCCCTTATTACCGATGCAAAACTGACCCGCGAAAAGATTGGAACTTTCAGGACAAATTGTAGACCAGCTACTGAACGTGTCCCGGCGTGAGATTCAGGATTCTATCTCTAGCCGTTTGGAATTCCGAGCTGGTGCACGTCTCTTTCGTCAGAGCACTCGCATTTGTAAATCTGTATTTAATAGCTAGTGTCTACCCGTTGGGAGAACAAATTTCCACTTTCTTTTCACGGAGGTATAAACACCTGGTCTTGTCATCTGCTTGTCTATCTGACTGCCATACACTTTGTCAAGCTTAAAGCTGTCACAATATGTGGCTAATAGCTTTTCTGTTGCCTCTTCTATAAAATAATTGCAGGGCTCTCCCTTTCTTCCCTGTGGTTGTGGCTGTAGGCGATTGAAAGTTTTAAGCCCTCTAAATCCGTCACATAAATCCACTCTATATAAGGGGGTACTTCGCCTTCTATTCTGAATGCATACTCAGACAGCGGCGGTTTTATCCTCCTGGCTACAGTAGACTATCCTATCCTGATCACAGATTGCTGTCGGTGACAAGTGGTTGCCTCACTTGAATCGGAAACACCCAAGACTGGGTAGTATCCCGACTCTCTACATTTTTTGAACAAGACAGTTAATTTTAAATGCCTTCATGCCTTTCTACTGAGAGGTAAAAGTGGTCCTCCTAACCGCGTGGCATTCCTCCTCGACTGTGAATGAAAAAGGTGGGTTAAAAAGAATTTGAAAAGTACCTGTGTATAGGTATTTCCGGATTAAGTTTTTCCTGACAGAAGTGGTACCTACTTCCTTAATATGGTGGAATTTCTGTAATTTTTCGGAGGTAAACTTTCAAGGAAAAATCAAGAGAGGATGTTAGCTTTCTTTTTCACTCCCTATCTCAGCCCTCAGATCGATGGAGAGTGGTGCCTTAGTTAAGGGGAAGGGGGGTAAGATGTGGCAAGTCGGGGAAAAAGAAGTTGTTTTGGCTCGTGAGGCATGCGACACGCCAACTTTTGCTTTAACTTTTCTTTTAAGATAATCATTTACGCTATTGTTCATCGTGAGGGTAGTTTGCGCCAAGAAGCTAGATTTGTGCTCCACAAAGGAGCTTCAGCTTGCTTTAGAATTTTCTTCATTGCAGACGATAGGAAATTTTGTCGTTGCTAGGGTAATTTTCTTTAGAAGGGGCGTATATTTTTTTTCTATAAAAGGCGCTATATTGCACTGGCAATAGATGGTTCTACTTATTACATTATAAGTAGCTTATTGATTGATTAGTTTTTGATTCCCCCTTTTTGGATATTTGAGACTACTATACTTGGTCGTTTTTCTGCGACCTTGAAAAAAAGGTGGGGCTTGGATCTTTTATTTGTAGTGCCCGTTTGCGAGCTAGTATGCACTATGAAATTAAGTACATATTTTACACGAAGACTTCGACTTGCTTTGGAAGCTCATTTACTAAAGGTGAATGAGAAGCAACACATTTTTCTGCGAATATTTTTTTTCAGCAAATAAATATGTATTTTATGAAATAAATGGCATCGTCTTTTATCAGTAATGGCTGGAGCCACTGTGTTATGAGTGAATTTTAACTATTATCTACTAGTCCCTAGATCCGCCCTTTTTTATGTAGATTCGATGATGTGGGACGTTTGAGTCCTTCTCAAAGCCTTAGTGCACCATACCGGGGCCAAGGAAAACTTATTATTTAACGTACCGAAGGGATGAGGGGTTATAGATCATGTCACAGGACGAAATTATAAGCTGGTGTGTTTTACTGACCCGAA